TATATACTGAGGGAATGACCTCCAAATAGACACTGCATTGCTTGTTAGGCATGCGTTCGCGCCGCACTGTGGGCAGTTCTGCGGCCCATGAGAGGAGCTCCTCAGGGTGCCCTGCGCAGCGTGGGAGTCAAGAATGGTGGATGGTGTAATGGACAGAATCCTAGACACGCCCTGTCTTCGACTGACAGGCATAAGCCGACCCTGGGGTTCTTTCTTTCATGGGATCATTGCAGGTCTGTATACAGACATGGAGTCCATGAAGCATCCCAGATCTCCAAGGGACCGTCGTATATGCCGATGACTTGGGGTGGTTTTGGGGGTCTATGTAGGCGTCTACGGAAAGCATGGTGGTAGGCACTGGAACATTTTACGTCGACTGTTGCTTCATGGATGCCTCCAATTCGGGGATTTACCTTTCTCTCGTAGTAGTGCGAATCTTGCTGTCCGCTGGTCTCCGGTTCCATTCCCACATTTAGCACCCCCGAATACATGCATAGCTACCTACATCCTGGCTAAATATTTATTTGGGCATCGAAGCACGCGAAGCGAGGAAACACGGGAGATGTGTCACCTGGCAAAACCTTTGACACATCTCTATTCTTCCGAAGCTCGGTCTCCATGACAATGCGCCCCTGGCGTGTGAAGATACGCCGGAAACGGCGCATCCGCACGGCGGCGTGTTCTGCGAACGCCGCGTACGGCGCCGTGCGCCGACACGGCGGGCGTTCGCGGCGCTGCGTGGGCAGTTCTGGTGCCGATGAGAGGAATTCATCAGGGTGCCCTGCGACCTGGACTGCTGGCAGCGTGAGCGTCCTGAATGGTGGATGGGGTAATGGACACGACAGTGACAGGCATGAGGCGACCTTGCGGTTCTTTCTTTCATGGGATCTTCGCGGGTAGGTGCAGACGTGGAGTGCGTGAAGAGTCCCTGATCTCCATGGGCCTGTCTTCTATGCCGATCACTCAGGGTGGTTTTGAGGGTCAATGTACGCATCTCTGGAATGCATGGAACCGTGGTAGGCCCTGGAACATGTCATGTAGACTGTTGCTTCATGGATACCTCCAATTTGGGGATGTACCTCTCTCTCTTCAAATCGTGAAACTTTCGTCGTTCCACTGGTCTCACTGGTGCTTTCTGGGAATGAGGGAATGACCTCCAAACAGAGATTTCATTCCGTAGGCTCCATGCGTATATCTAGAGACCCCAAATCGACCGTAGGGTTTTCCTACATCACTCGTTTGCACCTGCCTTGGTGCAGGTCTTTTTTCACTTAGCGGGTCGACAGTTGTGCCATCCTGTGCACTTGCTCGATGTTCGTCAACATGTCATTTTTGTTCAGGTGCCGTCGCGCCAACCTGCGTCTGCAAGCTAGCCATCCTCCATTGGAGGTCCATCAGCTTGCACGGGTCTCGAACTGCCTGGAAGATATTTTCCTTCGCTGCTAAGCTCTACCTTTTTTCTAGGTGGTTCTCCAAGTGCCGTGTGCCAGACGTGCGCCCAAGGACGCTACTAGCGGCTCCTGGTCCTAATACTAGTAAGTGCAAGGACGCTCTTGGGGACTCCTGGCCTTACTACTAGGAGCAAGAACGCTACTACGGGCTTGTGGCCTTACTACTGGGTGCAAGGACGCTACCAGGGGCTCCTGGCCTCAGTACTAGGAGCAAGGACGCTACTAGGGGCGCCTGGCATCGCTACTAGGAGCAAGGACGTTACTGGGGGCTCCTGGCCTTACTCCTAAGACGCTACTGGGGACTCCTGGCCTTACTACTAGGAGCAAGGACGCAACTAGGGACTCCTGGCCTTACTACTTGGAGCAAGGACGCTACCAGGGGCTCCTGGCCATAATCCTAGTAGGTGCAAGGACGCTACTAGGGACTCCTGGCCGTACTACTCGGAGGAAGAACTCTAGTAGGGGCTCCTGGCCTTACTGCTAGGAGCATTCTTGCTACTAGTAACAAAGAGCATCGCTACTAGGTGCAAGGACGCTACCAGGGGCTCCTGGCCTCACTAGTACAGGATTACGCTCTCATTTTGTTGCTGGATCCCAACATCACGTCTCGGAAGCGACTCCGTGAGGACGAGTTTGGTATTTGGAGACCGCCGAGCGCTGAAAACAAGCGCTTCTGCGTTGACCCATTTTCGAGAAGCCTAAGGCACTGTCGCGGAGCGGAGACCTCCAGCACCTTCGGACTAAGTCTAAGTGCATAGAGTTCAGCTCCGCTCGCCCCCGGGATTTGTCGGAGGTCCTCTCTCCAAGCGGCGACAGCAGGCGTTTGGTCTTTTGGTTGCCGGCCACATCGGCTGGCATGCGCGCAAGGATCCGAGGCGAGCGAGCCAAAAACCCGGCGCGGCCCGGACGGATCGGTGGTTCATGATTTGGTGATGGCCCGTGCTTCTGCCGCTGCGAACATGAGCTGCGTGTTCTTTTACAACGGGCAGGCACCACTCCTGATACACCCCTCATCGTACACCACGCATCAGACACCACGCATCACACACCACTCATCACACACCCTCCCGCAGACACCACGCATCAGACACCAGTCATCAAGCACCACTCATCATGCAGCACTCAGCACACAGCATTCATCATACACCACTCCGCAAACAACACTGATCAAACGCCACTCCTGCGAGACACCGTTCAGCCGACACCACGCATCGTCGAGGGAGCTCACGTTTCCGGCGCTCCAGCTCCTGTCTGTTTCCACCGAGGTGGATTTCGGTCCGAGGGCATGCATGTCCGGTCTCCGCTATTGATTGGTTTTTACCTATCATCGTGCAGAGGGGGCCGGGGGCAGGGGGTGCCCTCGGTACACGAGTCGAGTGCAGCAGCTAGCTACTGTCACGCTGATGACGCAGGCGCAGGGACGGTGACGAGTTGCAGATTTTGTGGCGCATCCCGACCCGCATGGGACAACCTTAAAGAGCGGGGGGGGGGAAGGCAGCAGCTTGCCACTGTCACGCTGTGATGAGGCAGGCGCAGGTACGGGGACGAGATGCAGATTTTGTGGCGCACCCGTCGGCCTCCGGGAGCGGCGCGCGGTCAGAGCTAGCGGGCGCTGCCCGTGGGAACCACACGGTGGCCCGAGAGGTGACGGCGGACGGTGCGCGGACACGAGTCGAGTGCAGCAGCTAGCTACTGTCACGGTGATGATGCAGGCGCAGGGACGGGGACGAGCTGCAGATTTTTGTGGCGAATCCCGACCCCGCATGGGACAACCTTGCCGACGGACCGACCGCATTCGGTCTGAACCACACGGTGGCCGGAGAGGTGAAGGGGGCGAATGCGCGGACACGAGTCGAATGCAGCAGCTTGCCACTGTCACGCTGATGAGGCAGGCGCAGGGACGGTCACGAGATGCAGATTTTGTGGCGCCCCCCCCGTTTCGGCGCTGTATGTGTATAGTTCGTGTTCAGGAACTAACCACAACGGGTTACGTACGGTTGCACTGAGGTGTTACTTCGCGTTGCAGTCTTTTGGTTCGTCAGGCGGGGTACCCGGTGTCCAGATGTCTCTGTTCTCGCTGTCCGAGCAGATGTGGTTGGTCGACATTCTGTCGTGGCTCCCGCTCTCCGTCGGCGTGGTCTTCGCGCTCGCTTCGTCGTCCACAGCGCGGCTGCTGCGGCCCTTGGATGCGCTCCTAGACGAGCTTACCCATGTTGCGGAGAACCACCTGGCCGCCTTGGAGGAGCACGGTGTGGTTCTCCCCATGGCTCGCCAGCCAGTGCGGCCTGTGTACGTCTTGGATTTACACTTGGCGCCACATGGCTTGCACACGTTGCGTCGCCGCTACTATGGCCTGAGCCTGGCGAACTCCGGCGACCTCGGGGGGATTCTGACGTTGGCAGGTACCAGTTTCACCCGCTGGCCTGTGGCAATGAACTGCGTCGGCCCTGCGGCGGATCCGACGCTCACCGCCGCCATGCACTGGTTGCAAAGCAGCCTCTGCATGCAGCTCTGGCTGCCGGATGTGCGAATTCCGTCCATACCGGCGGCTTGGAGCCACCTCTTTCCGTTCGGAACGGCTTTGTACAGACATTGGCCCGTCGCCGGGGCGGAGGGTGATGTGTTGGCCCTCTACCTAGTCCACGGCAACCTGGGGATAGTGCTGCTGTTTTTTGAAGCGGACTCGTCCACGGCGCATGCCTCCAACGAGGGTTCCGTGTGGGAACTCTCGGATTCAAATTCGGACAGCGAGGGGCCATGGTTGGTCGGATGAGTCCCTGCACGTTCCCATACAGCGCACGCCTGACACCTGTGCGCACCATGCCGGCCAGCAGGGTCCGGGCTCGGGGTTTGGACGTTCTGTGCACAAAGCCGGTCATCCCAGACTCAAGTCGCGCCCTGGTCGTCATCGCAAAAACCTCCCTGCGCCGCGGCCGGCCTCGGCGTGGTCAGTCTGGACCGGGGCTGGGGGATGCCGTGGACGTCTGTTTTTGATGCCCGTCGCATGTTTTGTTCTGTGTGTTTGTTTCGTTGAGGCTTGCCAGACAGGGTTTGCAGCGCTGCCGAGCCAGGTATAGCAACAGTTGTGGGCCGTGAGCGTGTGGGGGTGGTGCGGCGACGCCATGCGCTGGGCGGATATGGTGGACAGCGACGAGGACCTGGCTGCTGACCCCGCGGCGGCCCCGGTGGGCCTGGTGGCGCCTAGTCCTGTTCGCTGCGCTGTGGCCTTTCCGTTTCACGTGGTGCTACGTGCTTATATTTGTGGTCTGGTCGATGCACGGGTCAGCCGCTCAGCTATGGGCTCCCTGCAGCAACTGCTGCGAGGGGATCCGCGCACGTCGCCTTGGCTTTGTGGGTCCTACTACCACGACCTGGTGTTTGGCATCGAGCTGGCTGCAGAGGCCAAGTTGCGGCGCGCGTGCGCCTACTTGCTGGCCTCCCAGTGCTGCTTACTGTCGCCTGCCGCTTTGCAGCTGTGGTGGCATCTGCTTGAGGTCGAGTGCTGTGTGGATTTCCCATGTTTGACGCTTTGGATGGTGCTCTTCCCAGGTCGCGCGCCGCCAGCGGCGCGTCCTGCGTGAGGCTTCGCCATCCAACACGCACTGTGCCCGCAAGGGTGCGGTTTTTTAATTCATCTCTCTAGACTGGCACGGCTCGCGGGTCTCACCAGCAGACTCGTCGCGTGTACTATAGAGTGCTCTCGACAGCGACCTGCTTGGAGCGCCAGCTCGGGGTGCCTCGCGTCGGCGTCTCACGGCTTCGTGCGTGCGGCTGTCGTCGTCTTTCCGTTTCTCGCGGCAGGGGTTTGCTTGAGCCTGGCTTTCTTGCTCCGCAGCCATTTCTTTCAGGAGTGAGTGCGCACGCCCCGCCGCCATGTCGGCGCCGTGGGCGGGCGATGTTTCCACGTTGTTGCGGCCGTTGGAGGTCGCGCATCTCGGTGTGTTGGCGCGCGGTCATGCCGTTGCGGCTCCTGAGCTCCGTGCAAAGCACGTGGTGCAGGTCCTTCGCGACCTCTTCCATTTCGCCTGCACCGAACAGGTCGTGGCGAGTGTCTACGAGAAGGTGCTCCGGGAGGCGCCGGAATTGCTAGGTGGAGCGCCTTTGCAACTGCATGGTGTCGTGCCGGAGGCCACGCTCATCCAACCTGTCACCACGCGCTGCGTGGACTGCGGGTGCGCCTTGGACGTGCAACCCGCGCACGTCGCGCTGGCTTTCCTGCTGCATATGGGGTGGAAAGAGGTCGCCTGGCGGCGAGCCACATGCAGGTCTTGCCATGCATGGTACAGCAACGTGTGGTGCAGTCGTCCCGGTGCACGTGCTTCCTGTTTTTGTGTGGCTGCGCCGGAGGATGTAGACTTCCTGCAGATTGTGGCTTGTCCGCGCAAGAACGGCAAAGCCTTCATCGAGGTCAGGGCTCTGTGGTTGATGCGCGCAGCCCTGCTGCGCGTGCGCGCTCCTTTCAGCGGCTTTGTGGAGATGCTAGCTGACTTGCATGCGCTTCCGGCTGATCGCAAGCATGACTGTCTTCGTTTTGAGCAACATTGGCTGTTGTTGGAGGCATTGACGTTGCTGTGGCACCGAGCGCCCCATGTTTTGCGTTCCGTGGCATGGCCGCTGGATGGGCAGCATCAGACTCAGGCATGGCAAGGGATTTTGGAGCGAATCCTGCCCTTGCTGAGCGGCTTGGTGCGAGACATTCATTTCCGGGAGCATGTCTGCCACCTGTGCGCCGTGCCTGCAGTCACTCTGGATGCCAAGTACGGGATGACGTGTTCCTTGTGTAACCACCGGGAGGGCAGAGTGGTGGAATACCCGGCCATCAACTGCTCCGTCATGTTTGGCTGTCAGCGTGGACCTGCTCCCGGGCATTTGCGGCTGGGACTGTACCAGCCATGGGCAAGTTGTCCTTGTTCGGGCATTGCGGGTTTTCTTTATTTTTCCACCCTGAGCACGATCTTTCGTCCTCGTCGTCGTCGTCGTCCTCGTCGGTCGCAGGTACTGTCGCATGCATGCAGCGGACGGAGCACTGGCTGCTGCTGCGGACCAGCACATTCTCCGACATCGCGACGTGGACGGAGTGCGCTCCTACAAGGTGGTTGGCTCGTCGGAGTGGTGCTTGGGTTCCGCTCTGTCCACTGCCGCCATCCAGGCCTACGAGCAGCGGTTGGCGGAGCAACACGATCGTCGCAAAAGACGCCGACGTGTTGCGGCTTCGTCGGCCCACCTGCCGGCGGAACCGGAGGTGCCTGGCGATGCGGCTTTCCACGATGCTGTGGAACCGGAGCTTCGGTCGCAGGCCGATGATGTCAATCCATGTGGCATCGACAAGGTTGTGCTGCTGCCCCGCCGGTCTTATGGAGGCTTGCTGGTGGCGACGCTCCCTTGCGGCAGGGTTTGCTCCGCGGTGCCTTTGGCGCACGCGGAGTCACTGACTCAAGTCTATGCGTTGCTCTCTTCGCTGACGCCGGAGGATGGCGATGCACGGCCACCGCTCCAGTATGTGATTTACGACAACGCGTGTGCCCTGGCTCGTTTTGCGCGGCACCCGCTCCGGAAGGAGCGGACGCCCACAGCGGCCGCATTGGCTGCTTTGACTTACGTCCTTGACGGTTTTCATGCACAGAATCACACCAGCTGCCTGGACGAGAGCCATCCTCTGTACACGCCGGAGGTGCAGCGCGCACAGCACGCTGCGCTGCAGGGACTGAACACGCAGACGGCTGAGCAATTCTTCTCATGGTTGGATCCGTTTGTACGTTCGGCCAGCTGCATGTCCCCGCCCGTCTTTCGGGTGTTTGTACAGATCCTAATTCATTTGTTTAACACGTCTATTTGCACGTCACCGGAGCCGCGCGTGCGCGCGCGCCGCCCGCGTGCGTCGATGGCCGCGGCCGGAACGCCCTCGCGACCAGATGTCGCCTCCGTTGTGCCCGAAGCGGTGCAGCAACTTAATTCGCCCGTGTCGCCTGTGCGGTTGCGCCGCAACCCGCGCGGTGTCGGGATCTGGGGAGCCGGGAAATACCACTGGCAGCGTCCTTCCGATGCGGATAGGCCGCCTTGTAAGCTAGTCTGGTTTGAGACCCTCTCTGAATCGTTGGAAACGACGACCGCGTGCATTCGCTGGGTGACACCCTGTGGGTGGATTTTGCTCCTGCACGGCTGTAGCTACGAACTTTGCCGGGTGTGCGCTCGGGCGATGCAAGCGGAGGGTCTCTTGTGATTCCTTTTGTCACGCTGCGATCAGCTACCTTGGCATGGCTGGGGCGGGGGGTCACAAGCATCCCTCGGCTCCGTCGGCGCTGCAAGAAATGCCCGGACGAACGTTCTTGCGACACGCTTCGCCTTTGGTGTTTGGGTGTGTTGTCGGGTTTGGCGGACGCGGCCTGCGCCGGTGCTTGCGCATGTCTTTCTGAGAGTGGTGCTCCAGTCAGCTTCCGGGCCTTCATCGGAGTCTCGCCGCCTCGTGCTCATGGCTAAGCCTCGTGACGCACGCCTGCCCACGGGTGAGGAGGTTGACGAGTTTTTCCAGAAACTGGAAGCCGAAGCTGTCTTCCCTGCCGGGGCGCTGGAGCAGCTGGCGCCGCCGGAGCTGGTCTCGCTCTGGAAGGATATCGCGGCTACGCAGACCGTAGCGTGGCCCTGGGTGATGCTCTGCGAGTTGGCTCTAGCCAGTTTTCTCACGCCGAATGCTCGGCTGCATCCTTTGGCTAGTTTCACGGTCTTCTCTCTGACGTGGTCCTTCTTTCTACACCCGGGCAGCTGTCACACCTCCAACCTGCTTCGTCTCTACCAAAACGTTTTCCATGGCCTCGAGAAGAAGGTCAACAGGTTTCGCGCTGCAGAATGTGCGCGTCTGCGCCAGGCAGCGCAACCGGGGGCAGACGCACAGGCGCTCCTCAAAGAGCGGTTGTCAAAGCTGCAGCCGCTCGCACTGCGCCTTGGCACGGGGTCTTTGGAGGGCATCGGGCTTCGTATGAGCCAGTTCCCTGACTGGACCGCGGCCTCCGGATTTCTGGTCGAGGGGCTGCAATTTGTACAGTGGCTGCAGGCGGAATTTGGCTTGAACCGAGCCATTGCGACACAGTTGTGGGAACGCATGTCCTGGCAACGAGATGTCGTGAATCAAGGCCGGTCGTTCGACATGACCTTTCCGTTTCTTGCCGTCTGCGGTGCGCTGCATCTGGAGGACGTGTGGCCGATGTTTGCGCAACCGGACCCGCTGGGGTTGCGGGGGCGCCTTTGTTTTTTTTACACTCGGCCGGCGCTGAAGCGCGCTCGTGGGATCGAGGATGCGAACCAGCGCTTGCGGAACCATCGTGGTTCCAACAATTTGGAGCAAAGCCTTGTGGACCGCTTCTGGCGCATTTACCAGGCACATGCCCAAGAGCATCGGTCCGCGGCTGCGTTCAGCTGGCACTTGGAGTACCCGTTCCTCAACTATTCCTTCAGTGACGAGGACGAGGCAGCTGCCACGTTCGCGCGGGCCTTTGATGCGCACGTGCAGCTCCAGGCTGGGAAGCGCGCGCCTGCACGTTTGGCTTTCACGTTCTTATGTGGACTGTGGCCGCACGCCTGCGTCGGGTCACCGCGGCGAGTTCGCGATCGGGATCGCGCGCGTCGAATGCGGTTTTGGGGCTGTTTTTTCTTGTTCGTGTTGCTGATTTTTTGGTAGGGTTGCACGCCCTTCTTACTGCATGGCCGCTGACGCCCGGATTGCGCAGGAGGAAACGTTCCTGGTCCAGCACGAGCTCAGCAAGCGCCATGGAAAGCTCAAAGGCAAGCACCTGCGCCACGCGTTGAATTGGCGCAATGTGCTATGCAGCTTTCTCCAACGTGATCCACAAGCGTGGCCGACCACGGTCTCCGTTTCAGCGCTCCGCGCCGCGGAGCTGCTGGGCGACTACTGTGAACTTGTGGCGGAGGCGACGTCCAAGTTTGCGGCTGAGCTTGGCAGGAAGGACGGAGCCGGCAAGGATGAGAAGGCTGAGCGCAGGGAAAAGGATGCTGTGCGTACCCATGGGGACCAGATTGTCGCAATGCGGCGCATGGACGCCGAGGACTTCATCAATGCGGTGCCTCCTGCCCATCGCTCCAAGCTCCTTCCCTTTGCGGCCATCTTGCTCCAAATGCACACTGTCTGGTTGGATTCCACAGCCCTGCGCTCCCACTACTTTGTGCGGGACAGCTTCCCGGGTGCGTCTGCCGAGAGCAAGCTGCAGTTCGTTTGGCGAGCAGTGATGCTCCTGGAGCGGCTGTCTGTTGGCCTTTGTGGACTCACTACGAATCCCTACGGGCCGAAACGGCTTCTGGCAGTGAAGCGCCCGGTGCCCACTGAGGACGGCCTGGCACGACGGACCTTTCTGGATGTTTTGCGTGTCTTGGGCGTCGACCTTGCGGCGCACCATGGGCTGGGCCTTGCTGAGACCTTGGCCCAGCGGCCTGCCAACGCGCCGCTCTTGGAGGACACTGCGCCGGACCTGGCAGCGGCTTCGTCGCTGCTCTCGTCGGTCGCAGCGTGGGCCGCTCCGGTCGAGTGAGTGTCTTTGTGCAGTGCTTTCTCGAATTCGTTGCATGGCCTGGTATCGCTGCTTTAGGTGCGGGTGGATCCTGGTGCTCGTGCACAAAGCCGGGCACTGGGATCCACTGCTGCTGGATCTGCAGACGCTGCTCTAGGTGCGGGTGGATCCTGGTGCTCGTGCACAAAGCCGGGCACTGGGATCCACTGCTGCTGGATCTGCAAACAAAAACCGGCCTGCAGGCTTTTCCCGCCTGGCGAGGTAATTTTTTGTTTGGAATGGTCTTTTCTTGCCAGTCTCTTTCGTGCTTCTGCCTGTTTTCCGGGCCTTCTTGGCCTGACCTCCAGCTGTGAAACGGTTGTCGTCCGGTGTGCTGGGCGAAGACCAGCTGGGTCATGATTATTTTTCATACCGCAGACTTGTTCTTAGGGGCCTGGAAGCGCGCGGGATGCTCTGCTGCGTGGCCTTTCCTAACTAATCTTGGTGTGCTACGAGGTTCTGAAAGGATCCTGTGCTACGAGGACTTGAAAGAAGCATCCTGTGCAACGACGACATTCTAATAGTCGTGGGCCCCCCCCTCCAACTGGGATAAGTAGTAGTAGTCGTAGCCACCCCCCCCCAACCAGCCCTGTGGTACGAGGCCCTTGAGACTCCTGTCCTACCAGGACCTCAAAGCCAGATCCTGTGGGAAGCTGTGCCACTCGTGGCCACCCCCGCCCGTCCCTGTGCTACGAGGGCCTCCTGTCCAAGCAGGCTCGTGCGCTACGAGGAGCTGACAGAAGGCTCCTGTGCTACGAGGTCCTTGAAGAAGGATTTTGTGCTACGAGGATCTTGAAGACGGATCCTGTGCTACGAGGACTTGAAAGAAGGCCATACAGAAGCATCCTGTGGTACGAGAACGTAGTAGTCGTTTCTCCCCCCCTTGCCCTTCGAAGTGTGAAGGTAGTAGTAGTCGTGCCCACTCCCCCTTTCCCTGTGCTACCAGGGGTCTTCAAGAAGGATCCTGTGCTACGAGCCTTGAAAGAAGGATGCTGTGCTGCGAGGGCTTTCCTCACAAATCTTGTTGTGCTACGAGGTGCTGAAAGGATCCTGTGCTACGAGGACTTGAAAGAAGCATCCTGTGCAAGGACGAACTAGTAGTAGTCGTGGGCCCCCCCCCCCCCTCGAATTGGGAAAAGGAGGAGGAGGGGGGGGCCCCCCCCCCCCCCCTCCCGGCCCTGTGCTACGAGGCCCTTGACGAGGCTCCTGTCCTACCAGGACCTCAAAGCAGGATCCTGTGGGAAGTTGTAGTACTTGTGGCCACCCCCCGCCGTCCCTGTGCTACGAGGGCCTCCAAGCAGGCTCCTGCGCTACGAGGAGCTGAAAGAAGGCTCCTGTGCTACGAGGTCCTTGAAGAAGGATTCTGTGCTACGAGGATCTTGAAGACGGATCCTGTGCTACGAGGACTTCAAAGAAGGATTCAGTGCTGCGAGAGCCTTTAGGAAGGATCCTGTGCTACGAAGGCTATAAAAGAAGCATCCTGTCTTACGAGAAACTAGTCGTGGTCGTTCCCCCCCCCCCCCCCCCCCCCCCGGAGTGGGAAAATAGTAGTAGTCGCGCCCCCCCCCCTGCCGGTGCTACGAGACCTCAAAGAAGGATCCTAGGCTACGAAACCCTGCAGAAGGATCTTGTGCTACGAGGGCCACAAGGACGCGTCCTGTGCTACGAAGAAGTAGTAGTAGTCGTGCCCCCCCCTGAAAAGTAGAGCCTACCTGTACAGGGTTCCACTCCAACAGCTGATATAGTGTGTCCATGCTTGACTGGCTCAAGGCTCAAAGAGCAAGAGGATAAGACTCTGCGCATAAAAGACACTAGCGGTCTGCACCTCTACCGTGTACGCCCTAGTCACTCTTTCAGTGGTAGCGGAGCAGTGATCCTGGAAGACCCAGGTGAGCTCCTTTCCTAGGCATAGACTTGCTAGTGGGCAAACGGCCATGGATTGGATTGACGACTGGGAAGAGCCTGATGCGGATGTGGCTTATGAGCCAGCAGCCTACGTGAATAGGCATGTGAGAAGAGAACCAGCAGCAATAGCAATGACAACACAGGTCACTACAAAGGTGCCCCCATCTTATGATGGAAAGACTTCATGGTTTTCCTATGAGGATGCCATAGACGATTGGTGTGATATCACCGAGCTGGAAGATGAGAAAAGAGGACCAGCATTGAGAAACAGATTAGAAGGAGAAGCAGCTGTATACAAGCGTGTTTTAGACAGAGATGCATTGAAGGCAAATGATCCACCAGGAGCCGGCGTAGAATATTTCAAACGAGTACTACGACCATATTTCGTGAAAGGATCAACCAATGTATTCCTGTATAGGTTCATGCAATTCGTGCGCTTCAATCGAGGATCAGCTGACATGATGAAATGGATGACAAGATTCCAGATTTTACTCCAAAGGCTTATGAGCAGTTGGATGGACATGTTAGAACCAGTCACTCAAGCACACCCACAAGTCCTAGCACAGATGCAGGCAGATGCAGCGTTGACTGGAGTAGCGCCAACGGCAGAAAGGATTCAGGAAATCATGCAGACCATCAATGGCAATATGAGGACTTTTCATCAGAACGAATTTCCTCTAGGAGAAAATCTGATTGCCTTACTCATGCTGTCACTTGCAGATTTGTCTCAGGACCAGCGAAACACTTTGACTTCCTTGATGACTCATCGTGGCAGGGTCCTGCAGCAATATACTACAACAGAGTTGAGGACAGTGTTCATCGAGATGTTCTGCGCGACAAAGACTTCAGTAGATAATCCTTTGATGCAGCCGACAGGTGCTGGAGGTAGAAGATCATTTCTCGTACTAGACGAAGGAGAACTCGATGGTACATGTGGCTATTGGGCCGAAGATGAAGAAGATGGAACAGAAGGATTTTTAGATGCCCTGGACGATGTCTTTTGGGTATATGATGATCAAAACTTCTCGTGGTTCCAAAGGAGATTCCAAGGAAGAAGAGCCAGAAAAGGCAAAGGAAAAGGAAGAAGAAAAGGAAAAGGTAAAGGAAGATCAGGCCGCAGATTCTTCAGACCTCGTGGAAAAGGAAAAGGAAAGAGACGAGGTAAAGGCCATTTTGCTGATGAGCAACAGACAACTTTTCCAGATGAATACTTTGAAGAGAATCCTTATGAGGACGCTTGGGAGTCAAACCAAGTAGCATATGATGCCATCCTTGCCGAAGATATGAATGACTATCTTCAAGGAGAATATGATGATGCCAATGACTTTTGGCAACAGCTTGAAGAAGCATGGTTTTCCCACAAGGGAAAAGGAAAAGGCAAGAGAAAAGGCAAGAAAGGAAAAGGAAAAGATAAAGGAGATGGCAAACAAGATGCAAACTATGCAAATCAACAACAGTCACGTTCTTTACCTGCACCTTCAAGATCTTCACAAGCATCAGGAGGTCAACAAGGTTTCTTTGCACATTGTGTGACAGCAGCAGCTGAAGTCCATGACAGTGAGGTGGACTTGCTGTCAGGCATGATGACCTCATGTCAAGATGAAGCTGACTGTGCGGTCAACAATGGTGAGACGATCTTCAATGGCATGAGTGCCCCTGTGAGGTACTCTTTGTCAAAGGAGATGCTCACAAAGGCTCCTGATGGCTTTGCGCTTATGAGCGCTGAGGAAGAAGTGAAGGAGATGCAGGCCATTTCATTTTTGACTGAGAATCGCTTCCCGCCGACTATTGCAATCCTGGACATTGGATGCACTAGAGCTATGGGATCAAGGCGAGCAGTCGACCATTTTTGCAACTATGTCGACAATCACCCAGATTGTGGATTATGGTATTCTTTTGAGTCTACCAAGAGCAAGTTTTACTTTGCCAATTCCCAGAAGGCTACTTGCTCGCAGAAACTGGTGATTTACATGTATGATCGCGCATGGACGATCCACCATACAGAGTTCGACATAGTGGAAGAAGGAGAAGTCCCTTTGCTTATGAGCTTGCCACAGATGAGGAACTTAGGCTTTGAACTCAGGCTGACACCTCAACATGCTTATCTGACATCGGTGCCTCTTGGTATCAAATATTTGGAGTTGAAGGTTGCAGCCAGTACTCATCTTGTCTTGGACTTCCAAGATATTGCATGGTATCTGTCTGACGTGAATTTGCAGACTCGGCGCGAGAAGAGTTTTTACTCTCACTTCACTCACTATGAATATGGTCATATCTCTGTTGACCTCAATAGTGATGAAGATGTAGCTGAACATGCATATCCTGTGGTTGACTACTGGGAAGTAGATGTTCACAAGAGAGAACTGATACGTCGCCACAAGGATTATAGAAAGATTCTTTTTCCAGCAACTAAGTCCTGTCCTGTAGACACTGACTTACTGGAAGACTTGCAACTGACAATCATCAAGAAGAAGAAAGGAGGAGAAGAAATCAAGAAGCTAGATGATTGGCGCAAGGCAAAATGGAAGGACCTACAAATTGGCTATGAATGGCGTGGTAGAACAATTTTTAAGTTCAAACCAGATGCCAAAATTCCAGATCTAAAGATCAGGAAGGCTGGCATTGAGCACCGTGGCATTGGTGATCCCGATGCAGTGGTGCGCTCCTCCTCAGAGAAGGTTCCCATTGCAAAGGACAGGGAACCAGGCTTCTCATCAGAGAAGGAAGGTGCACCATCCAGTGCCGCGGAAAAGCCCGCGCCGCCAAAGTTTCGGTATACTTCCAAGGGTTTTGATCCATTTTGGAAAGGACACAAGTCGAAACCATCTGAGCCTCAGAATGATTTAAAGGGTGATGATCTTGAGGAGTATGCTCCCTCAGAACCACCTGAGAGGCCAGAAGGTGAACTTGTAAAAATTCCTAAAGCATCAAAAGGACCATCAAGTGATAAACATGAACCACTTGAACCAGGTGATGGCGCTCTTGAGCCTAGGCGGATTTCAATCCCATTACCTGGTAGTGAAGTTGTTGCAATGACACCGGCATATAGGAAGATGTTACAGAGACTGGAGGACAAG